TCTGGCGGAGCAACAGCTTCCAGAACCTGCACCACGTCATGCAGCGCAACTTCCAGAACCTGGGACCCATCTACAGGTGCGCCTCTTTCCCCAGCCCGGCCAGCGCCCCGGGCCCCGCTCGCCCCGCCTGGTGAATGGGTGGGTGGCTCGTGCAGCTTTCCTCCAGCCGGGCAGGCAGAGGCCCGGAGCGTGCTGGAGACAACTCCGCGCTGCTTACCCACGGGCTCTGGAGGATGCCGCATCCCTTGGGCGCAGAACTGGCCCCACTGGACCCGCGGCCCCCGAGGGCTTAACCTGGTAACGCGAGAGGCGCAGAGGGATCCCCGGCGGCTCAGGGGCGGAAGGAAAGGCGCTCGGCCTGCGTTCCCCAAGTGGAGCGAGGCGGGGGGGGGCGGTGATCGGCTGGCGCGGGGAGACCTTGCGCGTTCTGGCGCGAAGAGTGAGCAGGGCAGGTCGCAGCCCCGACCGGAGGGAGGACGGGCGTGTGCTCCACGACCAGGAGCTTTTGCGGAGGGAAAGAGGGCCGCGTCCTTGAGAAGCTCGACAGGCGCCACGGAAAGCGAGGGGGTCCCGAAGCCTTGGGGCAAGAAAAATATGATGGGGGTCAGGGCGGGAGGAAACGCTAGCGCGGGGGGAGGAAAGAGGGGCCCCAGCAAGGTGCACGTCGTGGTAAGAGAGAAACGTGCAGAAGGCGAAAAGGGAGCAGGAACGTCGCCAGAACGTCCGAGGGCGCTTTTGAAAGTAGCGCGTTCTGCCGCCCGTTCTGGCCTCTGCAGAGCGCAACTACTTGGACGGGCAGCGGGAGGGAGGGAGGGAGGGGGACCTCCTGCATCCCAGGGACCTGGGGGCCCGTGGTGGGGGTGAACAGCGGGCCTGGGTGGAGTCAACGGCCCCCCAGACGCTGCTCAGGCGCTTTGCCTCTCCGTTTTAGTACTTTTTATTAAGAAATGCGTAAAACTTATATCATTCAAAGCTGCCGTTTATGAACCGCGTGAGATGCTCAAATTTGTTTTAACTTGTTTAATTTTATGGAAAAGGGACCTGGGGGCCCGTGGTGGGGGTGAACAGCGGGCCTGGGTGGAGTCAACGGCCCCCCAGACGCTGCTCAGGCGCTTTGCCTCTCCGTTTTAGTACTTTTTATTAAGAAATGCGTAAAACTTATATCATTCAAAGCTGCCGTTTATGAACCGCGTGAGATGCTCAAATTTGTTTTAACTTGTTTAATTTTATGGAAAGTTAGGTTTTAGCTAAGGGACAGAAATCTCTCTCTATTTTATGTATATATTGTTGGGTACTTGCTTTATTTATGTGTGTTTTTAGAGTGTGTGCACTATGGGGCAGTAAACAAAGGAAACAAACAAGCAAACAAGTCTCCTCTCCCATCACTGCGGGCGGGAGGGCGCCTTCAGGACTGGTGAAAGAACAACATAGCATCTAAATTAATTCCAATTTAAATGCCTTTTCAATTCCTTCTTGCAAAAATAACGTAACGGTTAGTCCGAAACTAGTGAGAGGGCAAACGCTGTCGCTCCCGCTCCCGCTCGTGACGATTGTGGTACAATTGTGTTCCCATCATGGCGTTATTGCTCACAAAATGTAATGAATGGCAGGTAAGTGCGAGAAAAGGGCTCTGGAGCGAAAACGCCCGGGAAGTGGGTTTGGACTAGAGGTTGCCCGGGCAGGAGAGAGCGCTGGCGGCGAAAGAAGGCCGGCCGGCCGGCTTCAAGGGTGGAGAGAAAGGACGGTTCCCGCGGTGTGCTCAAGGAAGGCGAGGTGGAGAAGGAGTCTCAAAGGAAGGGAGACTTTTCAATAATAAAAAAAGAAACCTGAATCATATAAACAGCACAAGAACAGAACGAGGTGCAGAACTGGCGGGAGCTGAAACGACTTCTGGAGGTTGGAAAGTACGGTAGAAAGAGGGAGTTTTCCGACCGGGGGCAGCCGGAATGGGGCCCTCCCCGCCCC